ATGTGAAAAAACCATCAGAAAGTACTTCGGTTTCCCAGAAACCTTCGGAGCTAAAACAATATTTTTTATTGATTTTACGTACAGAATCAGAATGAGCAGATAAAACAGAGCATTTCCTGAGATTTTGAAGTAGATTAGATGGATTTCGACTGCGTGATGAATTTTTTAATTTTTGATGAAAATAATCAAAAATGGGTTATTTCACCTAGTATAGGTTTTCCTCGATTCTTGCAGTTTTTTGTGAAAACCAACATTCCACGAGATGCAGCATAATCGCTAACCTATGTTTTCATTCATTTCTGACAGTCCTGCAACTAACGGCAGAGGAGTGCTAGTGCTTCAGAAAATAGCTGCAGAGCCACGGATTTTCAGGATGTCGCTTAGGCGCAGTTTTGTAGGACACTTCGGACTATATATCTGTGAGGAAAAATCCATAGGTTTTGAGAGAATCGAACTAGTTTTTCAAAGATCCTCTGCAACTTCTGAAAAACTTGTGTACGGCAATAGCTGACTTGAAACAAAACGATTGCCCTAACTATATTTGGGAACTTTTGGGAATTTAAGTGAATTTGAGTGAATCGGGTGAATTTTAAATTTATTTGAATTTAATTTATTTGAATTGCCCCGTGAAAAATTATATTTCGAAATATATATTTCTTTTTTTTTTATAGTTTGTGTACGCACTACTCTAAAAAATTGAGTGCCTCCCTTCCCGGCCCGCCCATCGGCTCAAGGTTGAATATCTGATGATGAAAACAAAACTTGTGTTACTGGAAACTGGCATTGATCATCAAAACAAACTGAAATACATCGACACTGATATTCTCTAATAGTGCAGCAAAAGATCTTGGCAGTTCTGAAATGTTAAAAAAAATGTTTTAATTATCAATCAAATAATTGTTCCGAACAGAATTGTCAACAATAATGGTAACATAAAGCAGTGAGATCAAAAGCAAGGAAAAATAAAAGCGATGCATTTGATCTCTATAATTGAATTACTTTTCCCCTTGTTTGCATATGTACTATGAAAGGATTTTGATCGCAGAAACGACTTGTGTGTTCCATTTGCACAAGGACGTAATTTAGGAAATCAAATCGGATAAGAAATATAATAAATAACTTTTGTAAAAATCCAAAGTAGCGGTTTCGTAGTCAATTTTATGGGCTCTCTCTGATGGCATATGATATGTCTATATATCTTCACGTTGAAACTAGAAAATAGTTCTTTTACTATAGGTACGATATGAGAAAACAATTAGTTTTTTTTAAATCTTTTTAAAAGAACACCAAGTCGTTTTTTTCGACCAAAAATCTTATCATTAGGCTAGGAGAACCATATAGATCAACTTGGCATACTTTTTAGGGTGTTGGTTAATGTTTAACATGGCTAAAAGGTTCAGCTATCAGTGATTATCAGACCATGTAGTTTCTTTTCCTCTTTTAAACAATAAAGGAATGAACTCTCTACGGCTCACCGCTACTAAAAATCTTAGAAATACTTCAGGAGTAACTCGTAGATAGTGAAAACGCTGTATAAAATACTCACTTTTAAGACTGGTCTGGGTGATGTATATTCATACTGTATATGAAATAAGATACTTAAACCTTGGTTTTGACGGTCTTAGTAAACTGTTTTTGCTTTGTTGAATTGTTCCGTGCCGAAACAAAACCAGAAAACTTCTATAATGGAGACACAAAATGGACGTCCGCTTCTTAAAGAATGTCTTTATATAACACCTAATTTGTTTATTACAAAGAAGAATAAGATGGGTAAATTTCTTATACTAGAAAAAGGCTGAAAATGAGAACAAGTGATCAAACAAATCAGAAACAAAATTCATGTGCAAGCTACTTCATTTTCCATGGAGATGGTGTCGGAATAAGTTCTTCAAAATTTTTCAAGCATCAAACTCACTCAAACTTTATACATATGTTTTTCTGTCTGCGATATGCATTTACAGATACCATAAAGATTCCCCGACCATACAGCAGGTTTTGCAAAAAACCTTCATTTCTCGCAGATGTAGTGATGTGATTCGTTTGCGTTCTACTTTAAGATATCCTTACTCTACATGATATTAGTCCCAAGTTGGTGACCACTAGGATGAAAGAAAATTATTCAAACTAATTTGAGCAAAAAAATTGTTTCCAAATAATTTCATACCGATTAGTTTATATCGGCTTATTACTAAATTCATTTAAATCAAATTGCAAAAAAATTAATTGAGATTAATTGAACTTTCAAACTATTTTACATTTTCGAATTTATTTAAATTAATTCAGAATTAAAAATTATTTGAAATGATTTAAAAGTTTCAGTGGCGAAAGAGCTAGCTAATAAGCATATTACCGGTTCAGACGGTAAACGCACCACTGATTTTCTACATTAAGTGAGCATATAAAAATTCATTCATGCAAAGAAAAGCTGCTGTAAAGAGATGACAGAAACGCTTTTCCAATTACCTTGACAATTTTTCTGTTTGTGGAAACATCGATGAGAGAGTGTAATTCTCTTCTCAACACTAATGTATCAACAATAAAGTCATTTGTTCGGAATGATATTTGAAGTAAACAGGTTATACCTTCGTACGAATGATAAGTGTGACCCTAAAACATCAACAATATTAGACATTACTGAGATAGATATATCAGACTTCCCATGATAAGCAGGCCATAAATAAGATGATCAAATATTCCGTGTATGTAAACTAATAGATTCCGTACTTCTAAGGATACTGGCTGAGGCCTTTTCACACATAATTCAGATGAAACAACTTACTTCGCAATCGATGGCTAATTCTTGTTGATTTTCAATATGATTTATCATATCTTTCATTTCATCAACAGTATGGACAAAAACATATTTTGTCTTCTCTAATGGCGTTGGTACCTAAACAGAAGCGCGTTCGCGAGCAATTATAGGTGACCGGATTTTTTTAAATTACCAGAGGTTCACACTGTTTTAATAAAACTTCAGCTGGTTCGAATGATTCCATGGAATTAAAATACGGATGATCGGCACTAAACAAAAAGAATCAAACGTCTTTTTATTACCGTAAGAAGATTAAAAAACAAAAAGGCGTATTCTTAAACAGATTTATTTCTAAGAAACTTTTACAGTTATCTATAGCAGCACTGGAGAATGCGTGTTTTCTCTC